TTTCCACGACATTCTAATTTATTGAGATGCACCTGTATATAACTTAGCTACAACTATCAGGAACACCTGTACACCTCCTAATTCATGCAATCAGCCAATCATGGGGCAGCAGTGCAATGTATAAAATCATGCAGATACAGGTCACCAACATAGACTGTATATAAAGATGGACGACATGACAGGTCCGCAAAAGTGAAACAAAAACATCTTGATCGCCCCCTGGTGGCTGTCTGCAGTAATTCTTATTATGCTAATGTACGCTCAAGTGAAGCATTGAGTCATTTTCATGTCATTTTTCTGATAGGTTAAATTATAATTAGTTATTTGATGCTATAAAAACGGGGTTTCACGTCATGATTGAAAGCTCTACCTGCTTGGGACCGAGTCGGCTAGGTGTTTGGACAGAACCTCGATACCACGACTGTAACCCTGATCACTACTATGCAGAGTTTGGCTTCAAATGATGTCACCAGCACAAGATGGTGGCTCCCGTATCCATGATATTTTGGCAAAGGGAGGCCCTACTCATGGTGTTCCAAATAAAGTGCTTGGTGAGTGTATGTATAGACAGGGCTTAGTGGTAAAGCGGGTCATCCACCAATTGGAAGGTTGGCGGTTTGATCGTGGCTTCCCCCAGCCCACATGTCGAATTGTACTTGGGCTGTGCCTTCAGTGTGTGAGTAGGGATGATTGTGTGATTAGCAGTTGGCAACTGTCTGAATGGGGTGAAGTGTAGTGTGAAGCAGGGGTTTTCAACCTGTGGGGCACACCTGTCAAGGGGGGTGCGAGCATCAGTTAATTCAGAGACATTCCCTTGAGGATTTATGAATACGAGTTAGCAAATCTTTAGCCATCCACTAGGGGGCAATCTGACTCCCACTGCTAGTCGACAGTTAGAGCAGAGTTGGCTCAAGTATCAGTCACGCTTATTAACAGTGTAAGATAAAAGAGCAAAAGAAAAATCATTCGATGCTTTAATAGCTTTAATGGATATTTGCGTTATTTCAATGTTAATAAAGTAATTCGGTGTGAATACAGCAATGGGGGGGTTGGGTTTTGGGGGGGCGCGAGTGACATTAGACAAACTTGGGGGGCGCATGTCCTATAAGGTTGAAAACCCCTGGTGTGAAGCACTTAAAAGTGGTCGAAAGACCAGAAAGGCACTATACAAGTACAATCCATTTACAACAAACAATAGGCCTAATGCTAATGTGAAAGTGAAAATATACTTACATCAACATCAAGCACAATGGCATCTTTGGGCTCTTTGAAGTACGCCATTATAAGAAGAAGAATGCAGGCAGCCTCGGGTTCAAAACAAGCCAAAACATCTTTCACCCCTTGATGAGAGTTGACTTCTTGGCAAAACTTCAGAATGGTGTTGCCTTTGTTATCCAGGGCCTCTCGAAACTTCATGAGGATGGAGACATCGGTCAACAGAGTGAAGTGTGAAATAATACCTGGAGATAATGGAGTAGAAGCACTGCTGAGTCTTTGTGATAATTACATACAGGTGCTCTTTGGATACTTCAGGGATGTTGTGCTTATTCCATCTTGTGAAGGGCTTGTTGCATGGGTGGAATATAGTCTCAATCAAAAATGTAAAATGCAAGTCTCGTTCAAAAATGATCCAAGGCTGTGATTATAAGTGACGACACTTATATGGCAATATGCATTTTAAAACAGACAAACGCTGGCGACCATAGACTGTATATAAAGATGGACTACGTGTCTCCACTTCCCCTCATAGACTGTAATGAAGCTATAATATCCCAGATATGGCGCAGTCATTTTAAGTTATTTTCTACTGCTTTTTGTGCTTAAAGAGCAGGTCATATGGTATTTTAAAGTGTCCTAATATTGTGATGGAGTCCTCTACAACAGGTTTAAATGCATCTAAGGACAGAAAACATTGTAATTTTCGGAGAATATACATTTAATATTAGAGTCATTTGCCAATGATTTCG